AAGTTTTATCTAAATTGGATAACCTTTTATTAATACATTTTTGTATATTACATTTGACAAATTTTTTAAAATTTTTTTAAAATTTATATTCATCGAATGTAAAAATCAAAAGTCAATTAATAAAAAGATATCCAATTTCTATAATATTTGCAAGATATATGTATTTTGATCTAAGAAATTTTTATGTTTTTCTTCTAAAAAAAGAAAATAGCTTATTATTGGAAGTGAATTATTTTTGACAATATATAATATATATATATGCTATATATATAATTCATTGAACTTGAATATGTTCATGAACTTTTGAACTGAACCTGAACTGAATCTGAACTTGACTTATTAAAAGTTCAATATTGAATCTGAACTGAATTTTTTTTAAAAAAAGTTCAAGTTCAGTTCAGTTCAGTTCATAGGAACACTACTGTATAGTTTTTGTCTCTTATTCTTTTTTGCATTAGCCAAAGTCTTGACTTTTTTAATTAGATTATTCTTTTTTTTTAGCCAGTCATCCTAAGTTTCAGGTAAAGCTGTGGCAATATCCTAACTGAAACCTTCAGCTACACTCAGGGTAAACATCCTATTTTCTACTAACTTTCGTATAGCTTCAATGTGGCTTGCTATATTATTCAAATTCCTGGATTCTATGGCCAAGTCCAGTTCTTTTCTGATTTGGCATAGAGTATCATACTCATATTGGTCCTGGAACTTTACAAATTTATGCTTTGGCCAAGCTTCCTTAATATCAGCTTTATTACGTGTCTCTTGAACTTGCAGTGCCATTGAATTTAACTTATCATTAAAATCCAACATTGCTTTTTCTAATTTCTGAAAACCAGACAATACTTTTCCTCTAAAGAATCAGAGTTTTTATCATCACCAAGTTGTAATTTTCTTTTTCTTGATATTTTATTCACATGAGGTAAGCGGTCATTTATTTCTTCTATATCTTGTGTAAATGATTATAGCATAGCTCTTGGTGAGTGACTTGTTTCTTGGGATAATTTCCCAAAAGTTTGGTGGCCGGGTGCTTTTGAGTTGAACATACCATCATTTTCTGTATAATTGTAGATACCACTGATTCATTATCAATGCTTATTTGTAACCCATCATTTGAGAATTTCCCTTTTTCTACATTCCTTTCATGAGAACTCTTTACTTGGTAATCCTTTAACCTCTGCACGAGGTCCGCTTTGTTTCCCTCAGTTGATATGCCCAAACTACAGCATATATCTGACAAATCATTTTGGATATGTTTGAATATGCCATTATACAACCACGACGAACAAATATACGCTATAGAACCAGATATCAATCGGGCAGCGAAAGAATCAAGCACTACAGATTATCTAACTTCTACCTGCCCCTTATATACCATCATTTTCCATTTTCGCACAATTCATCCCATTTTTACTCATATTACACAAAATCTGCAGTACTGCAGTGGTTCATCCTCGCGATAATACCCCTTGCGTGACTAATGTCACGCAATGGGCCATTATCTGATTCAACTAATAATTCAGATATAAGCTCATTTTATTGCCGTTTTTTAGGGTCGTGATTTATATTTTAATAATTTAATGCAGGGAACTAACAGGTAACATGTAGAATTATTATTGCGGCTTGCAAAATTTTATAGATTAAATAAAAAATTGTCACGGATATTCAGTATATTTAGCTGGTTTAAAAGAATTTACATCGAATAGAATAGTAGGATTAATGGATAGAATTATAATTTATTGCTAAGTTTTGTACATTAGATTTTTTACATTTAAATTTCATATAATCTAGAGTTTCTATTTGTAAGCCAAAATATTTTAATGCTGGCTGAATTAAACGGTTAATATGATTTAAAATTTAGGCAATTTCAATTCCTATTTTGCATTAGAGATTTTAGTGCTTTGATACTATTTGAATCAATATTTAACGATTTGACTAAATTTTCAAAAGAAGATTTATACTCTTTACTTCCACACGAAAATGAATTTTTTGATTCTGCTAGTAATACTTTATTTATATCTGCAAAGGCCTTTTCATATTCTTTTAACTTACAGTAAACTTGAATTCGAAAATTTAGTGCTTTTTCATTATTTGCTTCAAGTTTTAACGATTCATTTAAATCTGCAAGAGATTCCTTATAGTGTTTTAACTTATAATACGTTCGTCCTCGGTATCTTAATACAAATGACACAAATTGATTATCTTGTTCTCCGTCTAATGATTTTGTTAAATCTTCAATTGATTCATTATAATTCTCTAAATAATAGTGAACAAGTCCTCGACATCTTAAGGACTCGGCGCTATTTGGGTCAATTTTTAATGCAATCTTTAAATCTCCAAGTGAATGGTTATAGTCATCAACCATGTAATAAGCTTGTCCTCGAGTTATTAATGCATCAATATTTTTTGGATCCATGTTCAGTAACGTCGTTAAATTCTCTATTGATTCTCCGTATTTTTTTAATTTATAACAAGATTGTCCCCTAACTTTTAACGCTACCTTATTTTTTGGATCAAATTTTAATGATTTCTTCGAATCTTCATAGGCTTCTTTATAGTTTTCTAAACTAAAATAAGTTTGCCCTCGATATCCTAAGGTCTCTGCATCAATCGGATGGGTATTTAATAATTTAGAAAAATCGGCAAGAGATTCCCTGTAGCGTTTTGATTTATAATATATTTGCCCTCGAAATTTTAACGCAATTATATTATCCTGATCAATTTTCAACGAATTGTCTAGATCTTTAAGAGATTCTTGGTAGTTTGCTAGCATGTAATAAGTTCGTCCTCGATTACTTAGTGCAAATGCACTATTTTGCTCAAATTGTAATGATAAATTTAAATCTTCAAGAGATTTGTTATAATCTCCTAAATGATAATAAATTTGTCCTCTCAATCCTAATACATGCGCATTATTCCTACTTATAGTTAATGCATTCGTTAAATCCTCAAGAGACTTTTCGTATTTTCCAAGCATTTCAAATGCTTTTGCTCGAGTTTTTAATGCATCAAAATCCCCTTGACTAATATCTAATAAACTCGACAAACTTTCAATAGATTCTTTATACATTCCTAATTCATAATAAGACTGTCCTAGAAATTTCAGTGTAATTACATTACTAGAGTCAACATCTAATAGCTTTGTTAAATTTTCACGAGACTCTTCAAATTTATTTAATTTGAAACAAGAATAACCTAGAAATCTTATTGAATCAGTATAACTGGGATCAATATTCAACGATTCAGTTAAATCTGCATAAGATTTATCATAGCTTTCCAATTTATAATGTATTTGTCCTCGAAAGCTTAGTGCAATTGCATTATGTGAATTAATTGCCAAAGATTTATTTAAATCTACAAGAGATTCATTATAGTTATTTAGCATAAAATGAGTTTGTCCTCGCAAACTTAATGCTTTTGCATTATTTGATTCAAGTCTTATCGACTCATTTAAATCCTCAAGAGACTTATCATAAATTTTTAATGTATAATACGTTCTTCCTCGGTATCTTAACACAAATGACACAAATTGATTATCTTGTGCTCTGTCTAATGCTTTTGTTAAATCTTCAATTGATTCATTATATTTCTCTAAATAATAGTAAACAAGTCCTCGACATCTTAGGGACTCTGCATTATTTGGGTCAAGAATCAATGCTTTATTTAAGTCTTCAAGTGAATTTTTATAGTCATCAACCATATAATAAGCTTGCCCTCGAGTTATTTTTGCAGTAATATTTTTTGGATCCATGCCCAGTAACATTGTTAAACTCTCGATTGATTCTTTGTATTTTTTTAATTTATAACAACATTGTCCCCGAACTTTTAACGCTACCTGATTTTTTGGATTAATTTTTAATGAATTTTCTGAATCTTTAAGGGATTCCCCATATCTTTCTAACTCAAACTTTGTTTGTCCCTGATACCCTAATGTCTCAGCATCAATTGGATTAGAGTTTAATACTTTTGAAAAATCCTCAAGAGATTCTTCGTAACATTTTAATTTATAATATGTTAGTCCTCGAGATTTTCTAGCATGTATATTATCCTTTTCAATATTTAACGAATTATTTAAATCTTTAAGAGACTCTTGGTAGCGTTCTAACATGTAATAAATTCGTCCTCGAATTCTCAATGCAAATGCATTATTTTTTTCAAATTTTAATGACGTCGTTAGGTCTTCAAGAGATTTGTCATAATTTTCCAAATAATAATACACATGCCCTCGGGATCTTAATGCATATGCATTACATTGATTTAGATTTATTGCTTTCGTTAAATCTTCAAGGGATTTCTTGTGTTCTTTAAGCATATTAAATGCCAACCCTCTGGTTCTCAATGCGTCAAAATCCTCTGGACTAAGAATTAATGAACTTGATAAACTTTTAATAGATTCTTTATACATTTCCAGTTTATAATAAACTTGTCCTAGAAATTTCAAAGTAATTGCATTACCAGACTCAATTTTTAATAATTTTTCAAAATTTTTAAGAGACTCTTTATAATTATTCAACCTAAAACAAGAACAACCTAGAAATCTCAGTGCATCTGCGTTATTAGGTTCAAGTCTCAATGATTTAGTCAAATCTGCATAAGATCCATGATAGTTTTCTAATATGTAATATATTTGTCCTCGAAGTCTTAACGAATCTGCATTGTTTGGTTTAATTTTTAAGGAGTTGGTTAAGTTTGCAAGAGATTCTTTAAAGCATTTTTGTCCTTGAGAACTTAATACATTTGTACTACTTGATTCAAATTCAAATGTTCTGTTTAAATCTTCAAGAGATTCATTATAACGTTTTAACATATAATATGTTTGTCCTCGGCATCTTAGTGTAAATGAATTATTTGGATCAATTTTTAACGATTTCGTTAAATCTTTAAGAGAGTCGTTATATTTTTTTAAATTATAATAAACCAATCCTCGACATGTCAGGAACTCCGCACTATTTGAGATAATATTTAATGCTTTTTCGAAATCTTCAAGCGAATGTTCGTATTCACCAAGTATATAAGATGCTTGTCCCCGAGTTTTTAGTGCCTCAATATTTTCTGGTTCAATGTCTAATAGCTTTGTTAAGCTTTTTAGAGATTCTTCGTAATTTTCTAATTTGAAATAAGATTGTCCCTGAACTAATAGTGCAATGGTGTTGTTTGGGTCAATTTTTAATGAATCTTTCGAATATTTAAGAGATTTTTCATAATCGCACATCTTATAAAAAGTTAGTCCATAATACCCTAAGGCATTTGCATTCTTCGAATCAATTTCTAATGCTTTATAAAAATTGTTGGGATATTGATCCGCAGAAACGTCCAACAACAGACAAAATTTTAAAAACTCTTGATAACA